TCATCTCTCCCCTTTTGCCGGAAAGCCGGGCACAGAGATGTCAGAGTCAGTTCGCGCAATAAATTCATTGCGTTAACCAATTAGCTCGGAGCGACAACCTCTGAATTCCAGAAATCCAAACGTTGAGGCCCATCCATTCGAGGGCAAGTCTTCCCGGAACGCGCTTCCCACAATAAGACGTTAAGCTAATAACAAACGAGTGTTCGGACCGGGCGAGAATGAGCTAGCCGACACCGAATGTTCGGGGTCCCGTGTAATGCTCGGAAGCGGCGTCGTTATTGATCTTCGATCGAAACCGTTCTACCGAGGAAACTATCAATAAATTTCATAATTATTCATCGGGACGTTAATGTGCGTGTTAATTCTAAGGAGAAAGGAAAGGCTGAGATCGGGCAGGCACGCATATATTTCAAACGTTTCGAAAGAACCACGTATTCTCGTGTATACGTTCGATATATTCGGGCAACGTATTTAGAAAATGGCGGATAGCGTGCCTTGGGCCTGACGATTACTCAGGAATGAAGGGATACCGGTATCCGCCGCGCAGCAGAAACACGATCCAGCTGTAGCAGCAAGAGCTGCTGGCGCCTTCCACACCCACGTTTTACGCGTGTTCTCCAAACGATTACGGAAGTCGGTATATCACTGCCATTTGTGTCGACAAATTGGATCGAATAGAAAGCGGGAAATTACCATCGACACGCTAGCAGCAATTTCGAATTTTAAGCCCCGTTCTCTTAATTTCATCCGGGGCAAAGAGAGAATGATAAGCGATCGGCGCAGCTACGCAACGGGGACGGGGACACGAACACGGACACGCCGGTTTCTCCGAAATAAATCTATTACGTCCGTGCCGGGAACGAGGTTGCCCCGGAGAACGCGAACGACTTCAGCGTTTTATACGCGTTACCGCACACACGCAAATACTTTATGCACGTATTACGCTCCGCGTAATGCGAATTTTATTGCGGTTACGCGTACCGCCACTTTTCTTACGACGCGACGCGCGATGCTCCGGGCGCAAACGCGCCAGCGTTAAGTCGAGTACCGACCCGCTCGCCGAGGCTTAAACAAAACGATGATATACTGTGCCGAACGATATTAAAAACTGGCAGATGTTGATGTACTGCGAGAAAATTACCGGCTGTCGTGCCCTCGCGTAAAACTTGGGAAAGTTTAGATCGTCGACGACTAACAGTGCGTCGATCCGTTTAATTGAATGGTAATTACGACGAGTTGACCAGCAACAATCGTATCGATTGGTTTTGCGAGCCACCAGTGAAAACGGTATCGTGTTAAAGTAAATTAATGGAAAATCGAGATTAACATCCGGAGGCATGAGAGAACGGGATCAGTGGAAAGAAGTTCGCGGTTCTTGTGTCGTATCGAGCTTACGTGCCGCTTCCGAGATTTCCAAGAAACCAGCCGGAAATGACAATAAAAATAATCACTTCAACAAACTGAACTCAGACTCTCTCCGGGCTGTGCGTACCCGTTACCGGGATGCGCGGTAATGACATCTAATTACTTTACACCGCTCTGCGCAAAAACGCCGCTCGATTTCGAATACCTCCCTGGCTAATTTACACGCGGCCGTTGCGTTAATTAATTCGAGCGAACGTCGCGAATGCATACTTACAACTAACAGAGTTCCCATTCGTAAGAAGGAATGTTCCTCGTAAAATTACGTAACCATTGCGTTCAAGAGTAGAAGAAAAGTTCTTTGGAACATCGTGTTCCTTTAACTACCTTACGGGTACTCCGCTCCTAAATAGCTTTTTAGTTTTCTTCCGTCGTTTACGCGCGTTCGGATACTCGTCTATCGTTGCAACGCAGCGTTGGGATTCGACATAAAACTGCGTTAACGACGGGATGAGAGTAATCTCTCTTCGTTCGACCGTATAGGTTTGTTAGAAAATGACCGAGCTGCTTTCTAACCTCGCGTTGGTTTTAACGTTGCTCACGAAGGAAAATCGATAATCCGAAGAACATTGGAGTCCGATGACACGGATTGATACGACCGCGTGATTGCCTTGTCTGTCCATTATCAATCTGCTCGGTTCTCCTTACAGCCCACAGATCGATACGACTTCTATCGCTCTCTTGTTATTTAACTCCATTTCTTGGACCAATGATTTTTGGCATATGATGTCCAAGATAAATAAACGAATCGGCAAATCTTGTGATCAGTGACAAATTTTAAGGATGTATTGGTTATACAGTCAATCCCAAACGTTTATGTACCTTAGAAAAACGCATTTCCTATAATTAAAAAGAAATCAGACGTCGGAAGAATAATGCTAATAATAAATAGCTGCGTGCTAAAAAGT